GGCAATAGCAGCTATTTCTTTTCTACCATTGGTGGCTTGTGCTTTGGCTGCAATTTGAATTGCCTGAACATCGCAGTCAAAAGCGCACTTCAAGTCACTTCGAAGGGAAAGGACTCCGTTAGGCCCTGGCATCTTTAGCAATAGGTACGGGTATTGTGGTATTGCCATGAATTTTGCTAGTGCTAGACGTCCGAGGATTGCATGGTATGATGACTCAAAGTCTGCAACTTCAAACTTGATGAACTCTGTATGGTAGTTTGAGGGAGTTCCAAAAGTAACCGGTAGAGTGATTTGTCCAAGTGGCATGGCTGCCTTGCCGGGTACTATCCCATAAAAAGGGGACTTGGTGTAATCATCCCGGCGAGTTATAGTCCCATCTTCCTTAGTGTTTCTGAAAAAATGATGTTGAGTCCGGCTCCTCCATCAATTAGTACCTTTGTGACAGTCATACCGGCAATAGTTGGATCTAGAACCAGTGGGTAATGGTATGCATTTCCTACGCTAGTCCATTGGTCTTCTCTTGAAAACTGGATCGGATATTGTGACCAATTGAGATATCTTGGAGTAGCCGGTTCTGCTGCCATGATGGTTCGGGAGCTAGCTTTTCTTGATGTTTGCTTCTAGAATCTAGAGCCCCGGTGAAGATCACTGCTACTGTTCCCCTAGATTTTTGAATCCCTGGTCTTCGTGGTTGTCTTCATCTTTTTTTGATTGTCTTCTTTAGTGCTCCCCTTACTATCTTTTCTTGTGTATCGATCATTGAAGGTGTAGCAATTTCGATGGTGTGCTTTCCGTTAGGGTGTAATGGGCAATGCATGTTTTCAATGTCATCATACCTTCTGGGCTTTGAAAACTTCCTTGATTTGTCAGTTACCGCTACGGTGTTGTCTGGTCCATGTTTTCTCTCTTGGTGTCTGTTGTTTTGATGATTTTGCTTATCCGGGTTGTCTCGGTTGCTTCTTTCTGGGAACCTTTCTCGTGTCTTCTCCTCCACAGTAATCATTTTTCTACTGTGCGTCTGAATTCTTCATTGTTTCTTGGGTTCTCTTTGCAGAAGTCCTGAAATTGCCACCTAGCTATGATTCCGTGAGAGAAAGCTTCGATTACTTCTCGTTCGGTAATGTCATGTACTTGGGCACGTAATTCGCCAAATCATCAATAGTAATCTCTGAGACTTTCGCCCCCATTCTGCTTGAGTCCCTTTAATTCTGCGTGGGTGATTGGGTGCGTAATGATACCTGCAAAATTTTGACAAAAAACTCTTTGCAAGTCCTCCCAATTTCTGATTGATCCTGGGTTCAATTTGTCAAACCATTGGAGAGGCATGGTTTGCAGGGCCATGGGAAAGAATAGGGTCTTGATATCATCGTCCCCCCCAAGTGAGTTCAATCGATTGTGAGTAGATTCTGAGCCACTGCCTTGGTTCGGTCTTGCCATCATATTTAGAGTGGTTGGACGACTTGAACTTATGAGGTCATCATATTGAAGCGAGTCTGCTTGCAAAACAGGGGAATCTATCATGCGTTCCGGCTTCTCTGTACTCTGATTCGGCACTTCCTTCCAACCAACAGTTGTTTTGGTGAGAGTAGTTCTACGGGGCAGTCCGAATGGGTGCTTCGCTTCTAATCTGTCTTGGTTGTTCGGCTCGGTAGTTTTGACTGTGGTCCCTTCTACTTTCTCTGTTGTGACTTCCACTTGGTCCAAGTCTCTCGAATGCGGACTTACTTTGATTTTGATCTTCCTTCCTATGAGATGTTGATATGACAGGTAGTCTTGAATGGGTTCTTCCATCGTGTGTCTTTAGGGCTGCTGTCCGGAGAAGTTCTCGGAGCTGTTCCTGCTGTTCGTTGGGATGCGAGGTCGTTCTGAGTTCTTCAAGTGCTTCTTGGATCCTGTTGTAGGGTGTGTTCGCCGTATGTCTTTCTTCAACTTGTTCTAATTTTCTTCTATTGTATTCGGCCAGATCTGACTCATATCTGATCCAGGCTTCTTTACGTTGCCCAGCATGTCATTGGCGTCCTTGTTTTCGTTTGTTTCTTCTTTCTCTGGCTTGCCTCTGACTCTCGGTCTCACCATCGTAGCCCTAGGCAAAGGGTGATATGTTGGACTCAGATTCATCTGATGATCTGACATCGGGTGCTTCTAGGGGGATCAATGGTGATCGAGGACGGCGAACCATGAGTACTTCCCGTGCGTGAACTGTTCTGTTACTGGTGTTGGTTTCCATACTGTCGGAGTTGTTGATAACTTTGGTAGAAGCTTCAAGGTCACAGATCGAGTCTCCTTCTTGGTAGGGTAGAATTGCCATTGTCATTGTGCCGACCAGTCGGGTACTGCTATCCTTAGGAATAGAACCTGGCCAGTGGACAATGCAGTCCTAAGATGTTATGGTTAGCACGAGACCTTCCTAAGCTCCTTTTAGTGGCATTCTAAGCACCGGATTGAGGGATCCTTCGAGCCATGCCTGATAGGACTTTGCCATGTTGTGGAGTCCGAACCGAAAAGGATCGGACTTCTTGAAAAGATTCTGAGTGTTCTCCGAGTTGTATTCTTGATATGCCGAGGCCGTGTTCTGGAGCCCCATCGAAAAAGAACTCGGATCTTCAAAAGAACTCGGGTCAGACTCCATCTCAGATGTAGAGCCTGAGTTTGAGTCAGATGCGCAAAGCCGTGAAACCTGAGTTGAATCGGACGTCACGAGCTACGCGAATCTTCTGGTGATTTGATCTATCGTAGTCGCCGAAATGGAAAGGTCTTCATGGTGAACCGAATCTTCGAGAAGACGGCTTTGGAGCTTGCCATCGTCGCCCGCCTCGCAGATCCACAAACCGAAGATGAAGGTTGATCCCATTGAGAAGATCATGTTGTCGAGGTTCGTCGAGCTCTCGGATGTAAATTCGCCGAATTCCCCTACCTGGCGCGCCAGCTGTCAATGTTTTACCACCGATAGCTTGCCATGGGGTTACCCGGGGCAGTATGTTCGGGCTTCAGCGTATGCGGAACTCGACGGTGAACGCAAGAGACAGTCGATTTATCCTGGTTCAGGCCCTCGACTGTGGTCGAGTAACAGCCCTACGTCCAGTCGGCGTTAGGCTTTGCGTTGTATTGATTGTTCAGTGTTGTTGTGTTCTGTCTTCCCATCTCTAGGAACCCCGCCCTCCTTTATATAGTCAGGAGATCAGAGTCCTAGTCGGTTTAAAATGAGAGTTTCTAGTAGGATTACAGAATACTACTACTACTAGGATTACATGGGAAGAATCCTAGTTGGACTAGATCTTCTCCCTTCCTATCGGGGTATCCCGTGGGTCCCGCATCGACAGAAAGGTAGCCTTGTACTTGCTCCTTCGAGAAATATGGGCGTGTGTTTGGGATTTCCCAACTGGATGTACATCAATTGCAATCGCCACCCTCCTCAGATATGGATACCACTTGTCGCACTACTGCTATCGTAGTTAATACAGTTGGAACATGTAGATGATGATGACGCTATTGCCGGAATATGAAATGCATCCTGATTGCTTACCATATGCTTGAAAGTAGTACAGGTACTTACCTAGAATGGTTAAGGAATGAACTTGATGTGACTACTAAAACTTTGAATATAAGGATGCATTGTTAGTAATGCTTCTCTGCAAGACAACTAAACAACTATCTAAATATCCCCTTGCATATCCTTGAGAGTCGAGAGGCTACTCCCACCTAGTCGGGTAAGTCTTGCAGGGTACATTGTGTACTCAGGGTTTTATCCCCCCCTGTTGCAAGTAACAGGTGGATGCTGGAGCTAACTATTGTTGTGTGTGGATACCTCCTAGTGGGCTCAGCGAGGCTTCCTTTATCGTCACGATCATAGAAGCTTTATTCTTATATTCCTACTTCTGCTTCAATATTCAAAAATGTTAATTTCCATTGCTTTTGTATAAAATAACCTTTCTTACGCTGCTTTTATGAATTATGTTTTAACTCCGATTTTATGTAACATTGTGACGTATGAAATGGTTAAAAATATTGTAAGCCCTATTCACTTGTTTATGATCCTGATGAAAACATGGATTTTTAAGTCCTCCCGTAGGGTGTACTTGACAGACTACCGGGTTTAACTTGATCTCTGATGTAAAATGTGCTAACAAGTATACTTGAGATTAGTTTAAATTGGATGGTTCGGCCACAATAACTCACGAGAGCTTATATTTAATTGTAACACAAGTAACCTAGGGTAATTGTGTGCATAAAAAAGATTGGAAAACAATTCGATTGGCTACGCGCCTAAGGTCAGTTTTAGTGGAGGTTTTATGTCACTTTTTCCAAGACTCCTATATATTAGAGACCAAGAGTGGCGTCAGGGGCATACCCTTGTATTCCACGGAATAACCATGATTTTGGTAACAAACATAAGTATTTCTATATAGTAGTATGTATGTTTTTTTTAGAGAAATATAGGAGTATGTATAATGGTACAGCATGTGTAAGTCCAGTAGAAACTAGCAGTAGCAGCCCACGAAGGCAGAAACCCATAACGCTCGTGTTCGTCGCTCCCTCTCCTCCCTTGGTAGTTGGTGCTCGCAACGTCTCTCGTCTCTCGCTCGCGCATCGGCTGGGAGCACGGAGCCCGGGAGGCGTGGAAGGACAGAAGCGGCGACCGGCGGCGCAGCGGCCTCCCGGCTCCCCCAGTGCCCCTCGGTGCTCGGTCCTCCTCCGACAGCCTCGCCCTCTCGGCCCTGCGCCCCTGTGCGTCCAGCACCCCTACCCCAGCGCCCTAGGGCCAGTGCCGCGCCCGGGGCGGCGGTGACCAGCAACGGGCCGGCCACCCACCGGCGGTCTGGATTCCCGACTCCGGTAACGAAATTCAGATTCGGTTTGATTCGATTTTATATAATTAACACCATTTTGCCAGGGACCGACTAGTGGACCCGTGGCCTAGACACCCTTGTCCATTGGTCAGCGGGAGCGAGTACACGCGTACTGTACGTTCACTTTGCACAGGCGCGACGGCGCGAGACGAGATGGCAGGCCTCGAACGGCCCCGCCGCCGCCCTCCCCCGGACCCCGTCGCCGTGCTCCGCGGCCACCGCGCCGCAGTCAACGACGCCTGCTTCCACCCCTCCCTCCCGCTCCTCTTCTCCGGGTAATCCCTCCCTCTCCCCGCTCCCCTATCTCCAAACCCCTCCCCGATCCTCTGCACTGCAGCAGCGAACACGCACTCTAACACGACAACCTGTTTTCTGTACCGCCTTTGTGTGACGCATGCTCTTTGCTACTCATCCAGCGCGGCTGACGGGGAGCTCAGGGCCTGGGACACCGCGAGCCACCGCACCACTTCCTCTGTTTGGTTCGTCACTTCTGCTCTTGTGCTCTCTGCAACCAACTATGGCGACTCAGTTTTGGTGTGACGGCAATGGCATGCGATTTTTGCAGGGCTCATGCTGGGTCGGCGGGAGTGTATTCCGTCGCTGCTGGTGCTGGACTTGGGAATAAGATCATCAGGTGAGTGGATAGGAGCCAGGCAGTTTTGGTGGTTTCCACAGAAGTTACTAGATCATTCTATGGTGTTCTTGTAACCAGGCTATTGACATGCAGTATTGGCACTACAAACGCGTAATGTATTAGGCAGGGCCATGTCAGTGTAATAATTCATGTCTGAACTTCAGTCGCTTAACATTGACATGTAGAATTGGAACTGTACTTGAGGGGGATTCTTCAACTTCTCAGTGAATTTAGGATTAGTTTGAACTACACCCTGAGGAGAAAATCACACTGACTGGACCATGTATCATACTATGCGTTTCAGTACATTGTTGACTGTAGATGGAAGAGATGTTAGGTGCAGCATATTTCGAGCAGATTATTCTCGTTCTGATGATTTTGATCAATATGTTTGCTTCTCATGTTGATACAGCCAGGGCAGGGATGGGACTTGTAAATGCTGGGCAATTGAAGAAGCTGGGCTTTCACGGTATGACTCCTTGTTTGCCCACCCCTTAGGGTTTAAAACAAAAGTTATTTTTCTTCAGGAGAGGCAAGTGTACACATCTTCTTCTTTTTTTCAAATGAAACATGGGACCTTAAATTTGAAGGATAATCTGGGACGTGATTAGTGGAAAATAAACTATCATGAATGTAAATGCAAAGGAAAGGGAAAACCTACATTTGTCATATTATACACATATACAGCCATATAGCTGATCAAATTTTCAGTACTTTTACAAGACAACTCCCAATCTTAACCCCTAATGCAGAACAACTATCATCAGGTCTCAAGCCCCTCTTGTGTCAGCTATGTATGCAAATAATATTCTGTAACTACCCTTTGATCATCAATTACTGCATCAACACATCCATCTTATTGATCTGTTTGGTTCTTAGTAAACTTTATGGTTCATGTGAGATTTGTGCTGTATGGATCCATGTAGAATTATATTTGTCTTATTGACTTTTTGTAGGAAGCCCCTATTTACAGTCAAAACAAGCACATATCATTTCTGCAAGATGTCACTGGTGAAGTCTTCTTTTACACATGCCACAACATCCGGCTCATCCTGCTCAGCTAGTGACGTAGAGGCACAAAGAGTGTCAACTGAAAATACAGAATGCCAAGAACATGATCAATGTATTGAGCCAACACTTAATCGCTCTTGTAAAGTCAGATAACTTTTTTTTGGTGTAATTGACCTTAATAACGTTTTGGTTGGCTAGGCACTACCTCTAATGGGCACAATATGTTGGCAATTGCTGGCCAAGAGTCGTCCCAGGTTAGTCCTTAATTAAACAGCCTTTTGATCGAAATTGACCTAAAGTATGAAATGAATGATATTAGTACCACTGTTACTAGGTATAGTAGAGAATGCTTGGATGAGCTGGTGAAATATAGCAACCTGTATGATTTTTTTTCTTTTTGTTTAATGCCTTAGTTTTGTTTTCATGCTGTAACTCAAAGGAGAAAAAATTCTGCAGCTTGAGCTTTGGGACATTACAAGTGCTAGAAAGATCGTAACGTTGCCCCAAACATGTAGCGCTAATACGACAGATCATCCTACTAAGAAAAAAGGTTCGTTTTCACTTTTCCAGCTGTAGCTATTTTGTCTCATGAGAAAGCATCAAGTGCAGGTTAAGCCTAGTATGTTGATCAAGTACTATTTTGTACTCTTTTCTTTGTAGATCCTCCAGTTATTGTACTCCTATTTTCTAGGGCTAGCCCCTTCATGATAGTACTAGGACCTGCACTATGTAAAATCATTGTTCGGTGGTTGCTGGTATATATAATTGATTTGGAGGTTAAGACTTATCTTTCAGGATTTATGGATATGGTTTAGGATGGATCCCTGTTCTATAATATGGCACGACAATGCGGTCCATAATATGAGACTAGAATGTGGTATAGTGCTCTGCATGTGCAGAGCAGTCATAAAATTCCCTTCAAACTGTGGTGTCATTATTTGTGCTCTAAGTAACGCACACAAACTTATCCTGTTTATTGTAGGACTATGCATGGCTGTGCAAGCTTTCATCCCCCATGAATCTGCAGGCTACATAAATATTTTGTCAAGGTTAATATCAATATCAAGCTCTCTCTAGCCAATTTGTCCATGGTACCTTCAAAAGTTGAGGACTAAATATGGTACCTTCAAAAGTTAAGGACTAAATATGGTACCCTGATCTCTAATCTAACCACATCTTTTGTTCATTCTTGGTCTGCCAGCTAATTACTTGATCTAAGAAAGAATCGCATCACAGATTCACTAGAAATCTTCTTCTCCAGTCATTTCTTATTGTATATCTTCGCTGAACGTCAGTTTGATTGTTCCCCCTAATTATGGTACCTTGATCGCTAATGTAACCACATTTTTATTCATTCTGCTAAGTACTTGATCTAAGAAAGAATCGCATCACATATGATTCACTAGAAATCTTCTTCTGCAGTCATCTCTTATTGTATATCTTGCTGAACGTCAGTTTGATTGTTCCCACTGAAGTATGCTAGCATTTCCAGTTTACATATGGGTTAGTAACAAAGCTCTGGATTTATTGAAACTAGTTATGAAGATGGAAGCATTCTTTGGTGGGATGTACGAAAGCCTGGGTTACCTTTATCTTCAGTGAAATATCATTCAGAATCAGGTCTCATGCAGCCCCCTCTCAGTTTATCATTAGCCGTTCAACTTCTATTTTCAGTAATAGTTACATTTATCTTCCTTTGATGGAATGGAATAAAGCATGATCTAATAAGTTGCAGGTGTGCAGCTTTATCCATTGCTATTGATGGGTTTTGCAATGGTGGAATCTCAGGAGGTGCTGATGATAAAGTAGTCATGTTCACGCTTGATCATCCGAAGGTTTGCCCATCTCTGTCCTTGCCATGGAAGGTTTATGCTGTGAATAATGATATTCGTCTGTCTGTAGCCTGAGTGTGCCTTGTATTTCTTGCAGGTTTCCAAGTTATATCTTTGTTAATTCATTATTAGTAATTTTTTCTAGGTGCATGCAAATGCTATACATACAAGAACTGCTTGTAAGAACTTATCATTACAAAGGAAAAACTGAGTTTGGGGCTAGCTAATTTACATTGATTAATTTTTCTGTATCTAATGAATGTGCAATACTGTTAGTTATGTGATAGACTTCATACAAGGTTTGCGAGTGGCATATAGATCATGTTGTGGTGTTGCTGTTCTGATGTTAATAATTTAAATATTTTGTGGATCATCACAAGCATCTTCTCGATTTGAAGATGTAGTGTTTTTATTCCATATAGGAGTGCTTAGAATTGTTGGGTGAACTACGGATTTTGAATTTGTTTGTAGGTCCTGTTGCCTCATTGTGTTGATATGGTATTTCCTTCTGATTGCAGGGCGCATTTATTCTTAGGAAAGAAATAGAACTTGAGCGACCGGGTATAGCTGGCACAGCGATTCGGCCAGACAACAAGATCGCTGCAACCGCTGGCTGGGATCACAGGTTTTTCTCCATTTTCATGTCTTACTGTTTATCGCTGGTGGTAGCAATTTAACCCATTTCTAATGACTTTTAAACTTGTCTGTCAGTAATTAAAATCAATGTTAATGTGGTTCTGGTGATCCTGGATGCCCTAGAAGAGTTTGGAAGACTTCCTAATGTCATCTCTTCTAGTCGTTGCATCTGTGACCTTTTCAGTGGTTTTACCCTTGCAGGATTCGAGTGTATAACTTCAACAAAGGAAATGCTCTAGCCGTGTTAAAGTATCACAGTGCTTCGGTATGCAACTTGTTCATGTGATTGCGTTCTTTATTTTCTTCTCATATCCGGTGTGTATAACTAAGCCAATTGATATAGACTTCACCTCCCTCCGCTAGCACCTACTATAACATTGCCACCCTCTCATTTACCAGAACTGAAATATGCTTTGCATTTCGTCCTGTGTGCCCAGTTGCTGAGGCACTCCTTCAGGTTCACTCGGCTAATTTCTGCAGGCATCTAATGTTAATACTTTCTTCCTCTTCACAGTGCAACGCAGTGACTTTCTCATCTGACTGTAAGCTCATGGCTTCCTGCTCGGCGGATACGACGGTTGCATTGTGGGACCTCTACCCCCCAAAACCCCAAAGCAAAGTGGACATCACAAAAACAGATGAGGCCTCCTGCTAGCTCAGTTGGGCCTTCAGTGCTGAATGTGGTTTTTGCTTGTGTATATTACTCCGGAGTATCGTATCCCCAGTGCCTAGTGTTTCATGTAGTTTGGGCCTCCTGTTAAAGGCCCGTTGTTCTCCTGTGCCGGAATTTTGGGGCTTGTCCGTGCAGCAGTGAAAAATCTGAACTTGCCGCAACCGAGTAAGCGATTTATTCTTTTTTCGCAAAAGAAAAGAGTAAGTTATGATGTGCCAAAAGGCGCAGAGAAAGAACATGTATGTAACTGTTGTTCGTAACGCTTCTCTTGGTTTCTTTATTTTTCATCGAAATTCTGATCGGTTTCGTGGAATAAGCGTCACGTCTCAAGAGCATGAAATTGACGTAAATGTGAGGCAATTGAAGAACTGACTCTCTGAATAATTTCATTGCTTGCACAATCTTTAGCAAAAGTCCAGTAGCTTGTACCTGCTGCCTTTATGATGAGGTTCAACAGGCTACGAATTCATGGTAGTACTGTAATTGGCAAGCAGAGACACCTGCATTTGCTACTGTTCGATCTGGTGGTTCTGAAACTGAATGTAGTTTTTGATTTTGTATGTCAGCGGAATAGAGTTCGTGTCCAATGTTTCTTGTAGTTTTGGGCTTCCTTTTAGGGACGTTGTTTGCATGTGTCTGAATTTTTTGAACTTGCATGTGTCGGAATTTTGAAGTGGTTTATTCTTTTCACGGAAGAAACGAGTAAGTTATGAACGTATGACGTGCCAGAAGGCAGAGGCAAAGAAAGAACTCGAGGCATGCAGGTAGACCGTTGTTGGGAACGATTCAAATCTGATAGATCGGTTTCGTGCCACAATTTTCAAGTCTCACGAGCATGAATTGGACGTAATGACAAATTGACAATGCAGTTGAACAATTAACTCTTTGAATACTAAATTTGAACAAAACTCAGCAAAAAGTCTAGCAATTGCAGCCTTAACAGACTAGGAGTAATTTGGTAAACGGAGACACCTACGTTTTCTACTGTTCTCCGATGAATTGCTCGTGAAGATCAAACGCAACCAAAAAAAAAAGACTAGGAAAACAACAGGAAAAAGAACAATCTCCTTGCTCACTGCAAGGCGACGGTCTCGAAGATCGCCAGCCCATCGACGACGTTCCTGGCCTTCTCGCGCAGCAGCCGGTGCTCCCGCAACGGGCACTCCTTCTTGGCGTCGGCCAGCCACGCCCGCCTCAACGCCGCCGCGTCTTCGCCGCCGCCGGCCTCGCCGGGGACGTTGGTTACGGAGGCGCTATCGCCCCCGGCGGCACCCGACGACGGAGCCGAGGTGGTACCGTCGAGCGGCGCCTCGCAGAAGGCCATCGTGGCCACGAGCCTCTCCATCGGCCACTTCTTCGTGGCTGCAGCCAGCAACGCCACCACGTTGCCGCCGCCGGTTGCGGAGGCGCCGTAGCCGGCGGCCCCCGACGGAGCCAAGGTGGCGTCGAGCGGCGCCTCGCAGAAGGCCATCATGGCCACGAGTTTGTCCATCGCCGCCGCTACGGTGAGCTGGTTCGAGTTCGATGGATCGATTGGTTTTGGTAGGGAATCAAACGCAGGCGGCAGGCGGCGTTTATATGTATGGGCGCCCGTAGCTTGCCGACTTGGTTTCCCGCTCGGACATACGCCGCGAGATCGTGGCGGAGTCTAGTCGGAAACAGGCAGAGGCAGGGGAGGGGCGTAAGGGAATCTGAGTCGGAGTCCTCCTGCAAACCGTGCGCGTCGGAGCCATGGCCCGCTTGGGTCTCTTGGCGAAGGAGCTTCACAAATCACAACTTATATTGAGCACGCACCGCCAGTCGCGGTCGAGATTTCTGTTGGTGCGCTTGAGCTTCTTGATTGATGCAAATGACCATGGCGTCAGGCAGAGGAACCTCTGTCCTGTCTTATATGGTCACTAGATGAATAGCCGTATGTTCCAACGGAATAATAATGATATATATGCACATGTAATATTTAGATGGTACTATTATGAATTATCTCAACCGAAAACACTTCGTTCATTTTTGTGGTTATTTATTCACTAATGCTTGTGTGTTGCTACGGAGATAATAAAAATAAACACAATAAAATGACATGAAAAATGTATGGGTGTTTTGAGACCACCAAGCACTACAATCCATCTAATCTTATCTTAGACCGTCTCCAACAAACTATGTATAAGTTCACCCAAACCTAAAATGCATGGTGCTATGTAAAAAAAACCCTCCAACAAAGTAGGCAATTAGAGTACCTATTTTACGTGGGAGGAGAGAGGGAAGGCAAATAAACGTCCTCCCGACGCATGACCCAAATCTCTGGTGCGGAGGGCATGGCTGCGGGGCGCAGCGGCGAGGAGAAGACGGGCGGGCCGGGTGGCGTTCTGAGGTGCGCCGGCGCGTGTCCGGACCCCAAGCCGGGGCTGGGCGTGCCCCGCGCGGCGGCGAGGCTGGGCGATAAGATGCGCGGCGTCGGAGTGAACCGGAGCTCTCCCAAGCAGCACAAATCCTCGACGGCAACGCTAGGAGCGGCGCCTCTTCCCTCACCGGCGGCCCCAGCTACGTCTCCCCCACGGCGGCGGTGACTCCTCCTTCGAGCCGACGGCCGCGGCTGCTCCTCCCCTGTGGGCCCCCACCTCGCGCGGATGTGGTCCGGCGTCGGCGCGGCTTGACCCACACGCCTCGCTTGAATGGCGGCGCCGACGGAGGAACGATGGCCTCGCGGGGATGGCGGAGCCGACGGAGGAACGATGGCCTCGCGTGGATCCGTCGGTAGGAGGTGGCGAGTTTTGGGTTGGCTGTTGGAGAAGATAAGATTAGGGTGCGTGACCCAAACTATGAAATGGGTCTCGTGTTTGGGTATGTGCTGTTGGAGATAGTCAGCAACATGCTTTTGAGACATGTCAATATACGTATAAAGTGTAGTTGTACACTGAGACTAAACTTCAGTGTGAGACCGCGATTGAAACCACATGCGCACAATGCGTGTGAAAGATGAAGGGTTCCCCCTAGACCTTGTTTGTCTTCCATCATATTGCCCCCTTGGATTTATGGCCAAAGTTCACCATACCTTAAAAAAAGGAGATAAGGAAACTGAGATTCAATACTAATAAAAATCATAACTCGTCGTTGAAAGGTCCTTGTTTGATTTTGGTAATTGAGTGACAACCTAGGTGGACTAATGTGTGGTTAGTGATTTACACAGGAGATTAGTGATAAGGACATGAGCTCCATGCATACGACCATACTTGGAGATAGAGGGCGAGGAGATCAGCGAGGGTGTCCTAACTGAGAAGGAGGCCCGAAGCTCATCCGGTTCGAGTCACCAAGGTGGAGGCCCAAATCAAGTTCGAGTCCATCTCGGGTTCTAGGACCAGTCTGTCATAAAACTGGTCACACGGGCGCGTCCGGGCTCTGTTTTCGATGATCCACATATGGATGGAAAGCTAATTAGATAAGGAAGCCAATGCAAGTGGTCTCACGTCAAAAGCTCTTCGGAATCAACGGGAATCGTCGAAACAAGTCAGCGTCAAGAATCTGATAGGGTGCTGCGACATCGTCTTTTGGTCCGTTGGACTGTGTATCGTGTTTGGGCCGGTTAGGGGCGCGTCCAGGGGGGGTGACGCCCAATTCTCTATAATTAGCAGTCGTCGCTCTCCTTAGGGTTTGGGTTTTATTTAGTTTTTTATTTCCTCATGAATCAGACGTCATTTTGCTGCAACTGTGCCACCAAGGCTGCTTGCTGTGAACCAGGGCCCCAGTTCTTGATCTCTTTCGCCTGTGGCGATTAGTCCTTTCGAATAAAGACTTGAACTCCTTCTTGTTATCATAAGCCTCATATTTATTTGCAATTTCAGATTACGTTCATCCCATTCTTGCTTGTGTTTTCGATTCACTTGCAGGAAAGCCTTCTCGGCGAGGTCAATCGCGTTCGCGTGGTTGATAACCAATGGAGCAGTGGTGTAACGGTTGCGGGGGTCTGAATCAGTCTTGGTTCGAAGCCTAGATCATGAACGTCGAGTCTCCACCAATCAACGCAATCATACCTTTTGGAAGATCGGGCCTTGTCTACATCAATTAGTCCACAAGAACACTTGTGTGAGCAAAACTCATGCCATGGAGGTGAAATGGCTTGGATATGTTGCATAGCTCACACATGTGATGATGGAGCTTATTGCATATGAGACATGACATGTAGTCATGTGATTAAGGTGGAGAAGATCAAGATAAGACTTGGCTTGATGGACCGGTTGCAAGCGTGAAGGGCAAGTTGGAGGCTTTGGAGCGATGGACCGTGTGGCGGTGAAGCTTGAGCAAGACTTGACGCCGATGGACGAAGGCAACGGTGAAAAGCAAGTGAGGTCAAGATCGATGAACCAACAAGGTCACGTGATGATATGAAGTGGATCATATCATTTGTCGATCAAGGTTGGTCATGTGTTGCATCAACATCAGAGGAGATGGAATAGAATGCGCAAGGCAAAGGTATAACCTAGGGCATTTCATTTCACTGGTCATAGGTGTGTAGAGAAGTTTATGATCGGGTTTAGGATAGATGGACGTACTATCAAGAGGGGCAAACTTGTTTGCATATCGGTCATCTAGTTCCACTTGAACGATCTAAGTTTGCATACGTGTTAGGATCGAGTGGCGTGGCAAGAAGAGTGCTAATCCTTTGGAAAAATATTTATGAAAAGCTAACACATGTACACATGGTGGTGATCACTTGGTGGTGCTAGCACATTTGCAAAGGAGAAGTCAAAAGGTGAAGAAAGGAGGCGAAGCCAGGCTCGGAGTGCTGCCTTGGGGGCACCGCCCCTAGCTGTCTGGTGCACCGCCACCCCAGTGGCAGTGACCAGCTGGTCGAGGCCGAGAGCAGGGGTTGGAGCTGGCACTGCCGCGCCGTGTCCGGTGCCAGGCATCGCCGTGTCCGGTGCCCTCGCAAAAACTAGCAGCTTTGCTCCAACGACTCTATTTGGCTTGGGGCGATAAATAGAGGTAGAGCTCAGGCTTGGGCTGGTTGCTGAGCACCCTTAAGCTTTGGTGGCTTGTGTAGGTGTGCTTGGGAGTCCTCTAACTCACTTGTACTTCATAGTGATCATCCGATCGAGTGAGTGAACTATTCTAGTGCGATTGCATCGTGAGGTTGCAATGAGTGGCACTAGGTGATCGTGTTGCAAGCCGGTGGTGCTTGTTACTCTTGGAGGTTGCCACCTCCTAGACGGCTTGGTGGCTTGTGACTCCGTTGAAGCACGCAAGAAGATTGTGCGGTGCTCTAGAGGAGGATTTGTGAGGGGGATTGTGCTCACCCCGCGGGGATCGCGAAGAGCAACTCTAGTTGAGAGTGTCATTGAGCTACCCTCACTTTTGGGGTAGGTTCTTGCGGTGCCCGACGTGCGGGCTTGGCGGGTGATGCCAATTAGCCGTCGAACCACCAAGTGAGCGATCGACACAACGGGGACGTTGCTTGGTGGCAACCAAGTGAACCTCGAGAGAAAATCACCGTATCAACATTGTCTTCATCATCTTCTCGGTGGTTTGCATTCCGCGCAACACAAGCTTGTATTTACATTTCATACATTGTGCTTGTGTAGTTGCTCTTGTGGCTAGTTTAGCTTTAGTAGCTTGCTAGTTGCCTTCTTACTTGTGTAGCACTGAAGTAGCTCCTTTGCATGGCTAATTTGGTTTTAGTAATCTTGTTAGTCACATTGTTTAGTTTGTGTAGTAAGTAATTTACGCTCTCTAATTTAGCATTAGTTGCCTTGTCATTGAGCATTGCTAGTGAGATTAGGAGCTTTGTGCTTTTGCTTACTAGTTTGTGTAGGAGCTCCCCTGGTTGCTTGAAGTACTAGCCGCATAGATTTGTGTGACCTTGCTCCTAGAATTGGTTAGGTGAGCTCTAGCTAGCCCGACACCTTTGTTGCCTAATTAGGATCTTTTTAAGGTGCTTGTGAACTTAGATAGAGGGGTGTAGTCTTGGCTAGACCGATAGTTTTAATTCCGTATTTATTTCGGTTAGCCGGCGTGATTAAGTTTTCGAAAGGACTATTCACCCCCTAGTCTGCCATCTCGACCCTACATGTGGTATCGGAGCTAGGTCTCTCATTTGTGGTCTTCACCGACCCAAGAGGATGACGACTTATGGGCTAGATGTTGAGTGTCCATACACATTTGATGGCACACACTTTGCACGATGGAAAAATTGGATGACATGCAATTTTAAGTTTATTTCGCCTCAAATGTGGTGGATCGTAGATGTGGACTTTTCTCATGCGTTGGATGAAAAGAATGCAACTCAAGCGCAAAAGAAATGCCTACATCTCGATTGCCAAGCTACTAATATTTTCTATCAATCTATGAGTGACAAGATATTTGGGGAGATCATGTACATGAAGACCGCCCATGATATTTGGTTGTACCTCAATTTGATATATGGAAGGGTCTCCGATGATGATGATGTTGAGCTCAAGGAGGTGGTGGATGAGTGTGTTGAGCATGACCACGATTTGGTGA